CTGGCATGGAGCTTACATGGATCCCTATATCCTTCCAGAATCATGGGCCGTAAAAAACCTCCCCGGCACCAAATCCGATGCAGAACCGTCCAAGTGTGATCTAAGTCACAAGAGGATGGCCCAGGTAGGCCAAGTGACTACGGATTTGGTGAGTCCTCCCTGTCAAAGGCTCAGCAGAGAGGAGAGTCATATCTCCTCGACATGGCATACAATCACTCGATTGAACTCCAAGAGAATTTACACTTGGAAGAACATCTGTGGAATGCCCAAACAACCCACAGAGTCTTACACCCAAAACCCAACAGGTTGCTTGGATTGATCTGCCTTGTGTCATTGTCTCATTTCGCAGCACCCAAACCGAGTCTCCTCCCTCCCGCGACTTCACGTGCGCCAGGGGCACAAAGCGAGTTCGTGCTGGCCTGAGCGGGATGCATCTGAGAGGATCTGCACAGGCTTATGCATCAGACCGGATGACACCCATCAGACCGGATGAATGCGTGTCTGGCAGGGCATGAAGTCATGTGTGGAAACCTGGATGGTCGCAACTTGCCGTGAATAAAAGGTGGATGGAACATAGCAAACCTGTCCAACAGAGGTTGAAGAACCCGATCGTTCGACTATCCCAGTTGGGTACCCAGGTGACCGGGTCCACTTAACCTCTGGGTGACTTTTTGACACGTCGGAAAACCACTTCGCCCAGCACGGCCTATGTTCACCGTCAGAACAACAATAGGGTTGCTTCGCTTGGGGCTTCGTTTTGGGCTTCCCCACCCCCGCCGAGCGGCCTTCCAGTCTCGCAGACCAGCGATTTGGATTGGACCGAGCGCGTTGGATTGGACCGACGCAAGCGCTGCAGGCGCAGAGGTTCCTGGACCTGCTGCGCAACTCCCAGAGGCCCAAGGCGACCTGTCACTTTCGAACGGGAAGATTCGACAGGTAACGAAGCAATTGGAAACCATCCAACGGAGGTTGAAGAACCCAGACATACTATAGACTATCCCAGTTGGGTACCCCATGTGGTCCTAGAAGGTCACTTCAACTTCTCTTGAAGCACGCGGAAGTGTCCGCGGGCCGTGCCGAGCCGGGCCACGCCGTTCGGTGTGCGTCCGCCGTCCCGAATTCACCCCAACACCCCTTATATAAGGCCCCTTAGGAGAGGGTGGATGAGGGTGGATGACAATCCATTCAGTGGGATCTCCTCGTCCAGAAAAAAGAAAGAGAGAGAGAGAGCAAAACTGATTGTTGTTCGAGAAGTACCTCCCGACCTTGCACCAGCGTGAGATATTGCCGCTTCACCTTCTGCGCCACGAACTCCAGCCGCAGCCTCCAGAAGCTTCGTAAGCTCTTCCCCAGCAGCAACGCACCGCTGGTCTCCAGATCCAAGCGGTGTGCCATGCCGTGATCGGCCGCGGCGTCTTGAAACGGCGAAAGCTCCGGAAAGGAAGCGGCCAGGACCTCCGCCACCCGCGCGGGCGCGGGACCGCCTCGGCCGTCTCCGCCCGTCGCCCGCGAGGCGCGACCCGTCGCGCAGGACCAGCCGGCGGGCTTCGACAGGACCAGCGCGTCCGGGAAGTCGGCCAGAAGCCTCGGCGGCTGCGGGCACCGCCACGTCTTCGAAGGGTCAGCCACGTCCCAAGGGTGCTCGGGCGACGGGGGCGGTTCGAAGGGCATGGAATCCACCGCTCGGCGGAGGTCCTGCAAGAAATTGCAGTCCAGCTGCTGGCACTTGGCCAGGCCTGAAGCGACATCCAACAGCTCGGTGGCTGCAAAGGAGCTCAAGGTCCCAGCAGCTTCTAAGCGCAAGTGCGACAACGTCTGGCTGGGCTGATGTTCACTAGAACTGCCATAGAGTAGGTTGATGAAGTTCGCGATGGCACGGGGAGTCAAGGACTTCCGAGACGTCAGCAGAGTGAGATGCTCTTCGAGCAAAGGCAACAGCTTTCCTGAAGGCTCCCGATGGATGACATGCACATAAGCTGTGCCTGCCACACCAGTCCCTGGACTGAAATTGCCAAGTCTGGAGGCAACTTCTTTCGCCAGCCATTGCAGGATATCATGTGCTTCTTCCCCACCGACCAGTCCCCAGTCTATAGCTGTGCCTGCACATAAGTCATTTGACATAAAAGCCAAGCCAACTCACCCTTTGGAAGTAAAGGAGGTTATCAAAAGCTGTTCAAAAGGTAAAGGGTTACAATGAATGTGACCAGGCGACATGCAGCATTCACTACTGCTGGAGACACTGCAAAACGTGCAGGTCGGCTGCCGGCTTCATGGCATAGCCATAGTTGTCGTAAGCTTTGCAGTGCCTCTCCAGCTTGGTCTTTTCCGCCTAAACAACCAAGAAAACCTGGAAGCCCTTTGCCAACAAAAGGGCCATTTGCCCCAAAACCTTCTGATAGCCTCCTTTCCTTGACCTAGTTCCCGGCTTTTTTTTGCAGTGCTCTTTGTTTAGTTCCCACCGTGCCATCTGAGAAAGGTATGCGCTTCCCACCACACGAACCGATGGAACACTTCCATCCCTTCCGAACAACATCTATCGTCCCGCCTGGAAAACGCACCGCTTCCGTCAACCTCTTGCAAGCTCGGACCTCCTCGCTCCAAGAGCTTCCCCAGCGACTGGAAGCTCGAACAGAAGATGAGCGCCACGCTGAGCAGCTTCTCCCGCCGATGGAAGCGATGGCTCGGAGCTTCCCCAGGCTGTGCAAAGTGGCACGGCTTGGTGCCGCGCGTAAGGGCAACATAGTCTGTTCCGGTTGTGGTCCATTCCACACATTGCAGGGAAAAAATGCTGCGAGGTGCTTTCGCCAATGAAAGCTCTAAGTCCCGGTGTCCCTCTGCCCGCTGTTCAAACCCTTCCAACGAGCCAACGGCGACGGAAACGGCTGCGGGTTTCAAGGATGCCATCGGTGTCAAACATCGAGCTCCGACAAAACGCTACGAATAGAACCGCTCGTTTGGGATGGTTAAAACCTCTTCATATATGGGAGGGTGAAAATGGAAATATCATCCAGAGTCTGCATGCAAAAAAAATGGTTCCGGATCATTTTTTGTCAAGCTCATGAGCTCGTGAAGCACCCCGTCTACGTGTCGGCGAACCTGGGTGTATGAACATCTCAAGGGGTCGACGTCTGATCATCTTTGATGGAACATTGGGGCCGGAGGCACACCGGTTATGCATGGCAAGATCTACCATTGCATTCTCCGCTAATATAGATTTCACCCAAACAGCCTGTGGGCACAGAGCAAATCGAGGACAAGCCCTTGGGGTCGTCGACAAAGAAGGAGTCTGGGCCTGAGAGGGTGTCATCTTCGGCCGTGGTGTTTCTAGTGTGGTCATGTAATTCGTTGATCCGAGAAGGTCTACTATCATTTCTAGATCACTGGCTGCACCCTTCACATTCAGCTTTTTTACATTCTTGATGGAAAGGAAGGAAACAAGATTTAACAAGTATTATATATACATACGTGCAGGAAATCTTGTGGGAAACGGGAAACAAAAACCATTTCCACACTGCTGAGAACCCAGCCCACTGACATCCTGTTCTGAAAAAAAGAACTTGCAGAGTCTGGCTCAGCCAGGTCTTAGAATCCAGCTGAAGTCCTCCCAAGTGTACTCGCCATGGACGTTGTGCTTCACGGAGATCGTCTTGGAGCCTCTTTTCACCAGAAGAGTCCCTTCTCGAACTTTGCCCAATATCCGGCCCAAAAAATGGTGTAAAAAGATCCACCCCGCTGGGTTTGGGACCCAAACGAACTGGTGGAGCACCGAACTGGAAGAGATGAGCAACCCACGACCCCCAAAATCAGGACCTGGCTCACCCGCAAGGGAAGCCTCTCCGCTCCTGAGCTCCCTGGCTCTCCCCATATTCGAAGTCCACCTCGACGTACTCCACCGCCAGGTCCATGGCATCTTTCGGAGTCCAGCCTCGCGTGGCGCGTGAGCCCTCACGCGAGGAACCTTCCTCCGGATAACCAAAACGCGAGGCCAGGCGGAGGCGAAACGCAAGAAAACCAGCAGGCTGAGTGAGAGCACCAAAAGAGTTTAAGAAATCACCAAAACCTCTGGATGTGCCCAGGTGGCTGTCGGCAAAAAAAGAACTCAACGAGATGTGTCCACTTTTTGGAGGAAACCAAAAGCAAATGACTCAAAGGCTCTGGATGTTCCACTGATTCTCGGTGAAAGCCGTTTGAGCCCAAGCCATGAGTGTTGCACCTCCTTCTGCCAGTGCATGAGCCAAATCCAGGTCTTCTCCATCACTGTCACCCTCCTCTACCTCCAAGGCTTGCGAGGTAGAGAAAAAAAGTGGAAGATTCGTGCTGCTACTCTGGATGTGCAAGAGTTCTCTTGAAGGAAGACACTGGAGATTTTCGCGGAATGTTCCGTTTCTATGTCAAGCTGTCTTTAGGATCTTTGGGTCCAACATACTCCGCAGTTGACTTGTCCTGATGAAGCTAGTTCATTAGGAACAGCAGAAAGAGACCCGTCCGTGGTTCTTTGGATCTGTCTACACCGTGTCGTCCGTTCCTGAGGAGTCCGCACGATCCATGGCTTCCTCAAAAGCCTGAACGAGGCCCAGTCAACTTCGAAAGCCCGGACCACTTTGGTCACAACTTTGGTCGCAATGTGTTTCTTCTTCGCTAGCTGGCCCTAATGTCCATTCAAGACTCATGCGAAATCACAAAATGCACATTGTGTATCGTACCTTGAAGCGCTTCAAAGCTTCTTTGGTCAGATCCTTGCACGGGCACAAAGAAGCGCCAGTTGCTGGATTCTTATTTTGAACATTCATATCAACCATACCAATGCCTGCTGTGAAGAAGTGTTGAAACTTGAAACCTCCCTAGCAGAAACTTCTCAGCTAGTAAGGATTCGTGCAATTCTTGGCATAAGAAAAATACTATTAGCCCCAAAGCACACCTACTCCAGCCAGTGGTCGCCAAGTCGCTTCCGGTCCAGCCGCTCCCAAGCCACGAAGTTGCATCCTCCCTTCCACCTCTGCATCATCTTCTTCTAAGCGCCCTTGCAACCCACGCCTTGCAGTTCCGTCGCTGCGCAGAACGGACGTGAAACACCCCCCCGAACGGAGTAGCAGTGTGCTTTGTGAGAGAATGAGACAATACACATCAGTCATACACCTTCGCAAGTCCAACGAAACTGCTTCTGTATAGGCACACAACCGACCTATCCGTCCTTCCATTATTTTCCTTTACCTTCTCTTCCTTCCTTCTTCATTCCTTCTCTTTCTGCTTCCGAGGAGCTCCTGAACTCTCCTCCAAATGGGATTCTGGCCCAAGCCTTGCACCCAGTTGGCTCCTGGCACAGGAGCTACAGGCACTGTCAAAAATGCCCATGTTCATTCATCTACAAATTGAAAGAATAAAGTTGCCCAAATAGTTCATGTTCACATACAGTTTTCGGAATCTGTCATGGAGGTTCTTGACGTCTTGACCCCACGCAATGTCTGATAAATGTCTTCATCAAGTCTACAAGTCTGCAAGAAAAAGAACGAATCCTGCCTTCCTCCACCCAGCGACCACAAAAGTCACGTCCACGCAATCGTCCTCCAAGTCACGTCAAGCAAAGCTCGCAGATTCTTGAGAACCAATTTCGGCTGGCAGAGAGCGGGCTCGGTGGTCAATTAACAGCTTCAGCACCAAGTCTTTGATGTGTTCAGTTGTGTGTTGGAGATGACCCACCCACACACCCCAAAAAAAGGGAGGCCGTCATTGACCACGGTTTAACTATGCTTCAGGCACTTTACGACTCAAGTGGAGCGAAACAAGCAAAAAAGCAAAACACCCTGCATCCATCCGTTCCGTCACACCGTCACACATCTGTCCGTTCCGTCGTTCCGTCCGTCGGCGTATGTTGCGAAATCGCTTCTCCCGTCCTCCAGGTGCACTGGCACCTTCGAGCAACGTGCATCGAAGACCGGCGGATCTCAGACGTTCCGCTGCCGTCAGAGCCGCCAGGCCGGCGCCTCACGGCACGAAAAAGAGCGCCGGTTCGGTGGGGGGGAGCGGGTTCAGTGAAAGTTGGGCGTTTGCGTTTCAAGCCATGGGATGGTCATTGAACAACGACTGGATGCCTGAAAGAGCTCTCGATCAGGACTCAAAAAGCTAAATGAGAATGGCCTTTAGCTTCCATCTCAGGCAGGTGAGCTGTGGCTACACTTCTTCAGAACGGGGCGCTTTCGACCGGTTCCGAGGAGACGAATGAGACACCGACACACCTTGCGGTCGAGTCACAAGGAAACGCACACCAAAGCAATGCCGTTTCGAAGCAAAGCCGTACATATAGGGGGAGTGTACTATAGCATGCGCGAGGCTTTAACCACATAAAAACTACAGGCAAGAGATGGCAAGAGATGGCTATCTAAGTCGTGGATCCTGCAGTATTCACTTCGTCTCTTCGCGTGGTGGCCGCGTGGTGGCACCGCCTATGATGCAGACATCCACCAGGTCGTCCACGTCCGATGCTTCCGTCGCCATGAAAAAGGCACCATAAAGTGCGGACGCTGTGTGTTCACTGCTTAGGCGGCACTTGAACATCACTTTGCTGGTTGGTCTCAGGCCACCTAAAAACCAGGGTACAATTCCCCCGGAAAGGTGTTCAAGCTGAAAAAAGTAATGTTCTTCGGTCCAAAAACAAGACAGGACCCTATAGAACACCCGTGGTCTATAGGTTGTATTATAGAACACGCCGGAGTTCACCTCTGTGGAAGGCGCAAAATTGCAGAGTTCGTTTGGGGTTCCTCCTTGAGATGACACCTCAGTCACTACCGATATCTTGGTGCTCTATGTTGACTACAGCCCTACAACGGGCCAGCTTCATAGCCCCAGGGCTCTCTACACTTCTTGTTTGGACCACTTGGCTCGAGCCAAGCCAGCTTCCGACGGCAGCAAGAAGACTCTGGCCACGTCTGGGTTGCGACACCTCTTGCGCCTCTTGTTCCGACACCTTCGACAGCCGAGGGTCCACCGAGGTCGCTGCGCTCGTTCTTCGCATAGGCCAGCAAGGACGAAGCGGTGACTTTGGTCAATGAATCGATCATCGAGCCTGGCGCCGCCGTTTGTCGGCCGAGGTCCTCCTTCGTTTTTTGGTCCGCACGACTCCCAGAGAGAGAGAGAGAGAGAGAGAGCAGCAATTTAAACCATGCGGCATCGTTCGGTGCGGCAAACATGTCACGCAGACCCTGAACTTCCATCAACCACTTTTCAACGTTCCCCTTCCTGCAGAAAGGTGCACAAGGAAGTGTCTTTGAGAGCAAGTGAGGATTTTGCAAGAACACGAAGAGCCGTTGTTATTCTGCACTCTTCTATCAGTACAATATCTGAGGTCTTAACTTCTCCCCTTCCACCACATTCACTGGCAGGTCCAACTCAACAACTTCCCCCTCCACGGACCTTCAGCTGGGTGGAGATGTGTGGATGGGATCACATCAAGCTTGTGAGACGATAAACCCTTTTATCTAAGCTCAGTGCGCCATTGCTTCAATGATCTCATTCGTCTTGTTGAAGCGGACCCTGCTGATTCCTCCCAAAGATGGCACTATGGCAAAGCTAATGCAAACACTTCAAGTTGCCAAAAAAAAGAAAACAACAACAACAACAAACAGCTAGCAGAAATGGTGCCCACGGAGGTTCGTCCTGCTCTTTTTTCATGAATGCAACAGTAGACACCAAGAGGCGCTTTAAATATGGAACCCCATCTAAAAGAATCTAAAGGACACCTTCGGGGTTGTGCCATCGAACCTCTGAAACCACTGTAATCCCAAGTTGAGTCCCAGCCTTCGAAGCACTTCCCCATGTGTGGCTGCACCTGGGCGAAGCGACGGATCAGCTGGCGGCGAAAGCTGCCAGGGTCACCCCTGGCGTTCGACCCTGGCAGTGAACTGCCCTCCGCCCACAAATGGGAGGGTCCCAGGGTCTACAAGGTCCAAGCAAATAGGAGTCAATGGTGACGGTCCATGGTGCACTTTGGCGTGGTCGCAATCGTTGGACGGTCAAATCACCCACGACCCACGACCGGAGTTGACTGACTGATTGACTGTGTTTGCTCAGGAATCCGCCGCTGTGGGGTCCTTTGTTTGTGACAGAATCATCAGCAGCTCATCCTGCATGCCGACTTCGCCAAGGTGTATCTATCAAATAATGAACGCCTGGACGCCCCTCCAAAGGCCCCTCCAAACGCCCCTCGTTGCTTGGATCTTCGAAGTCTTTGGCCAAAAAAGCACTCTGCAGACGCATGCGCAAAAACAACAACGACTTGAGGATTCTACAAATACAACGCACGGACTGCCACGAACGAACAACGCAGAGTCAAACCCCGGTCGTTGGAGAGGAAGAAGAAGCGTGGGAAGTCCAATCGCTTTGACTCCAAGTATTGGTTTAGACCTGTCCAAACAGCTCAAATGTGGCTGAACTCAAACTCGTGGCACAAAGTTATCAGGGATCAAGAACAAGACCAGTGACGAAACTAGTGAAACTGTCACATCATCTTCAAAGTATCAGCTGAATGAGAAGTGAGGAGATGCAAAACTGCCTTTCTGGATGACATCCAGCTTTTTGTTTGCATCCACAAAGCTCGTCAGCAGATTCTCAATCTCTGAGACCTCAGTTTCGGAGGCGGCAGAGATGGCCGCAGCCGCAGCGGCCTGAGGCCTGTTGAGATCGTTCTTCGAAGGAAAAAAGGCATGTTCTGCCTGATTCTGCCTGTTCTACCTCTGCCCCCCCCCAAGTGCTGAAGCACAAATAGTCAAATAGGCACAAAGCTGTTGACCAATGATCAAAAGGGGTCGACTGCTTACTTGAGCATCTTACCACAAACCTTCTTGCGTTCTGCAAAAATGCACTGAGCATTGCACATCCAGGACGTTGGGGTTTTCTGCCACTGTCTCCATTGTGCTCCGCCGAAGCATGTCAACCTCACAAAATCTTCGAGAAAAGCTGCAGAGAGGGATTCACTTCAAGACTCAGAACAGAAAGTGTTCCAACTTCTGCTGCATCAACTTTCCGCATGTCTGACTCTGGTCAGACTCTGGCCTGCTCAAACCCTTTGGTCTCTTTCACCAGCTGCTTCTTGATGTCATCAGAGCTGAAGATGGGCCTCGTTCCCACAGAGACAACACATGGAACGATCATCCCCGCGACTGATCGCATGCACCGAAATGGTGCGCTCGACGACGACGTGATGCCGAGTGGCTCCAAGTAGAGCCACGAGCGCTGCATGACGATCCATTGTTCCAGTAGGTCTTGGATCAGGGTGAGCTTGGCCAGCCAGTCCTCGCGGAACTTGTGAAGACGACCAGGCTGCAGCTGGGCATGCCGAGATCCGTCAGTTCGATGAGACCACATGAGCCTCTTCGGATGGCTTTTTATTTTGATTCGAACCTCTCAACACACACATCGATCTGCTCAACTCACGTGTCCTTGACCTCCTTTTCAATTGGTTCGACCTGAAAAGACACACAGGCATTCGCATGGTCCGCTTGACTCACATTGCAGAGTAGAGCTAAAAGCACCAGCTTCGAAGCTTCGGACAAAAGGAGAGCCGCGAATGCCCATGGTCTTGACGATGTGGTCATCCAGCACAGCCTCGAGGGACGTCGCGCAGCCAAGGACGTCTTCATGACTTCGTCACCCAAAATCCAAAGCGGCCCTCCACACATCCAACAGAGGTCGAAGAACCCTAGTTCGACATCTACAAACTTCCATCGACGTGTCGTCTCAGCCTGGATCTCATCGATGCCCTTCACCATATGAGTTCCCGATCTGTGGGGCACCAGGCCAAATTCAATGGGCCTCCACCTGAGTTCCGAACCACCTCTCAGACGTGGCCGATCGGGCCGAAAAGCTGGGCATTTTAAGCCTTGCACTGCCTTGCACCACTACTGCTTACTTGTTCACAGATTCCTCTTAGTAAATCAATCACCTTTGCCCGGCCTTTACGCATGGTTACATGATTTCACACCCATCATTTCGACTTCTTAGGCTCCAAACTCCTTCTTCATCAGTGCCAAAGCGGTCTTCAAGCCATGCTCCTTCTGCGCCTGTGCCACTTCCGGCATCGACCGCCGTTCCGCCCCGCTCGGGGTTTTGGCCGCCGTTGCGGAGCGAAGCACAGGCCTTGACGCTGATCCGCTCTAAGATGTCGATATGCTCCAGGATACCGACTTCCAACATCTGCTGCAAGGTGATGCCATCCTGAAAGGAAGAAAGGAAAGGCTTCGGCAGTTAACGGTGGTCAGCGTCTCCGGCGTGTTCGGGGTTGAAAAAGGGTGCCGCCTCTTGCGTCGATCTGTGGATAGGCAAAGATTGGGACCAGTAGGAGGGGCTGAGATTGTTTGAATCTCTTAAAGAATACTCCAAACGTCAAGGGTCCACAGTCCACTGCACAGATTTGTCAAACATTTTTCATGACATCCTGTGTTGTTCCATCAGGCACATGCCATGCCAGAATTCAAAGGTATAACCACTATGACCACTAGGACCACTAGGAAGCAATGTCAAAGTCTGTATATATGGCTGTGGGTCTTTCAACCGGTGAACCCTGGTTGACATCAACAGAATCAACGGCCTACAAGAGGTCAACCTACGGTGAAAGGAGCTCCAGGTGGAACGACCCGCGCTACCATATACAAGGTGCACCAAGCAAAACAACACCACTTTGCCTTGGTTTTCAGCAGTGACTGTCCCCTCCCCCCCTTCTTTCCCCAGGTCTCCTCCATGTCCATATCCAGGCGCAACTCCTCGAAGAGATCCGCGAAGTGCCGCGGTTCGAAGGCCTGCCAAAGCGGCCAACGGAGGAGGTTCGAACGGCGTGGAAGCTTCGAACGGCGGAGGAACAAGGACCTGCATCGGACGGACCTGCTTGATGCAACGAAAGGTGAAGGCCGTCTAAGGAACCCCCTTGGATGGCTGATTCATGTTTTTTTGCGGTAGAGAACATGAATCAAATTACGGCCCGTAACGACACGAAAGCCAGCATGGCAAACAACAAACAAATGGCTGATGGCTTCACTTCAGAGCTGAACGAACCGGGACAAAAGCCTCTTGACACAGGGCACGGATGACAGGCCTGGCAACTGTCGAGCCGAATGGTCAAATGAAGCAAAATTACCAACGCATTCACTTCAATTCAGGCGTCTCCCTTGGTACAAACAACTGCGGCAATTTCCCCTTCACAGTAGCTAGGCATGCTAGGCAAACCACCTGGCGGATGATCAGCGACATTGTTTGGGTTGTGCTCGGCTGCATCGTTTGAGCAGCCCACGATGGGGAGAAGAGATGAGAAGAGCAGTCTTGCGCGGTGACAATCCTGGCCAGGCTCACATGTTGGCACGGAAGTTGGAGATTTCCTCTCGCAAATCCTGGCAAAAAGCATGTTTCTTGCGAGTCTTGAGGCGTGTCCTGACAAACCTGTCAGCTGTTTCACAAGAAACACAGGGTCTTGCTCAAGGGTCCTTTGCCACAGCCAGTGGATTTTCGATACCCTCAAACTGTTTGATCGTCTTGTAGCTTTCCTTGTACCTTGGCAGTCAGCAAACAAGAATCGACACCAGATGCAGGAAAAGCAGGCCGATCATGAGGGACTTCCTCGTGAGAAAATGTGTCTTAGCGGCTAAGAACAGAATTTCAGCAGCCAAGGTATCCAGAGTGCAGCCAACAAAAGAGCTGCTTCAAATCCTGAGGATTTGGCTGATCTTCGACCACAGACTCAATTTCTTCTGCCACCAATCGTTGTACCATGCCAGTCAGCCATTCTTCCTGACAATTTTCACACTTTCACGTCTGAGAAAGTGGTGCTGATCAGAACGTGGTGCTGACTCTTCTGAGCTCACTCTCGGGTGCTTCTCAGCTAATGATCCAAAGGAAAGCTATACAGAATTGGCACCAAAAGCCATGAAAAAACTGTCCCTTCTGCTCATGTCCCGTGCTCATGTATTCAGTGCCTCGGAGTGCTTGAAGTCAATAGCGCTGGTCCAAAGCTTGTAGTAGGGCTCGAAAGCCTTTCCAATCCAATCTCCAAACCCAAAGGCAGGCTGTATGTAGAACCCAAGAAAAGGATCCAATTAGGTAGGTAGAATCACCAAACAAGTGGATCTAATTAGATAGAATCACCCAAGATAATCTAATTAACTATTACCTAATCATAGTCCCTGGCCGTTTTTATATGGCCCAGTCCCGCCTCGCTGGTGTTCTCCACCACGGAGTAATCCGACACATCCATGCCTTAGCCAGCGAGCCGCGAGCCAAAGGAACGGGTCTGGGCGTCCCAAAGAGGGAGCCGGGCTCGGCCGGGCTCTCAGGTTCCCGGGCCGAAGAGCCTCTCGCGGTCCAAGAAGCTCTGGACCCGCTCTTTGGCACGGTCCAGGTTCTCCTGACACGACTGGTCTCGGCGGGGCGGGTCTCTCGCGCTGTCCACGAATGGGTGAAGGGTCAAAAGGGGGATCAGGGACGGTGGCTGGGAACATGCTGGGATTCTGCTTGCTAAGCTGGTTAGTGGATGTTGGGTGGTTGGGACCTTTGCCAGACAACGGGTAACTATCATATTGTAGGTCCGTCTCGAAAAGTCCCCCCGCGGGGTGCCAACTTGAGCTCTTGCTCGCGCGCCCCTGGTGGTCTTCCCATTTTGGAGACAATCCCAGAAGTGCCGTAGGATCTCAGGAAGATGACCTTCCTGTTGCTCTGAAAAAAAAAACGAAATAGCACGGTACGGAAAACCAGAAACGAAAACAGCAAACCCCGTCCCGCAGCGAATAGATTCGATGTGCACACTTCATGGCCAGCGAGTAGTCGTTCCTTTGGGATCGATCCACGAGCGGACACAGACAAGACCAAGTGTCAGTGATGTCAAGAAGTTTCCAAAGAACATGCCGTCCCAGGCACAAGCTCTTGACCCACTCCAAGTCTTCTTGATATCGGGCCATATCACGTTCATACCTTCGGCAGATGTTTGATCAGAACATCTGGCAGTGTCCGACGCAGGAGAAGGCTCCGGCCCAGTATCTCACATCAGAGGTTAAGAATAAAATTGAATAAAATGGAATAAGTGGAGCGCCCTGTGTCAAATATCTAGAACCTGAAAACTTTGCGACCAGATACTCCGTCTTTTCGCGGTCCAACTTTTCCATGAACTTCTGCTTCTGCGAGTCCAGACTTCTCTCCTCAGGAGTTGGAGTCGTCCGACATTCAAGACATCACCAACAATATGCTTATACGTGTACTATCTTATCTTATTATACTCAACGAGTACTTGTTGCAAACCTGGAAAGTAGACAACAATCATGAAAAACTGTAGCGCTTTGCAATATTTCTACCTGTGTGTCTTGGTAGTTTGGTCAAGTTGTTCTGGTCAAGGCGGGGTCCGTCGTTTCTTCGACTGGAAACATGGACATGGGTGTAGGTGAAAGACAAACACCCAGTGGCCCAGACCCAACAGCGGCGGAATCAGGCAGTTCTCCGCAAAACAAGGAAAACCATCAATGTCAATCTCCCCTGGCTTACTGCTATGTCATCCAACTGGAAAAAAAAGAGCAAAAACACTTCCAATAGATCTGTTGCACCACCAGTCCCCCCCACTGGGGACCGCCGGCCGAATCACCCACGTCGATCTGAATCTGCAGTGGCCATGCGAAGGAGGAAAAGGCTCGCTCCACTACCTGACGAGGGAAGCACGTGCGGTATCATAAGCACGAAGGAACCAGCAACAGCCGGTGGAAGAACAAACGAACGGATGGACGGACGGTGGAACTCCAACTTGTTCACTCGACCTTGGTACTTTCACCTCTTTCAAGACTCCCCACTTCCAGGTGATAAGCATCTAGGAAGCCCTCACATCGTGTGGTTGGCCATCTGTTTGGGGGGGGATAGCAACTGGAAGTTGTCACAACCTGCAAATGTTGCGACACAGTTTTGTGCAAGCGATAAGGATACATCTATGACGTCTGCCAGAACAATTGCACTGGCACCGTCCATTTCCCAAGCTTCTGGAAAATGAGAGTACTGCTTGAAATACTTTGGCCCTGCCGAGAACGCTTTCGCACTGCAGGAGCCAGAAAGCAGTCTCCATCTTCTCGCTGGCTTGTTTGGTTCAAACCAACAACGGCATCTTCCCAATCTTTGGCAGGAAGTTCGTGATGATTCTCACATAGCTTGTGTTGACGCATCTCGTAGAATGGAATCATTGGCCGAGTGTGTTTGCAGAAGAACTCAATGACAGCTCACACAGAAAACAATGTTTAACACAGCAGAGTAACTTGGTCAGAAAGAAAGCTCAACTTTAGAGCTTCAAGTCAAAGAAGCCTCCCGATTTCAAAGCAAATTTGAGCCAGGCTTCGCAAAAGACCGGCCCGAGCAAGAAACTCCATCCTCTATTCAGATGTTTTGTCACTCATGGCATGATGTCTCCAGTCCACCCATCCATCGCTGCGCAAGACGTTTCTGCTCAAGACGTTTCCGATTCTCGAATCTTCGCCTGAAGCTCCGTATGGATATCCTCAAATCCATGGCTTTCGTGCAGTGGCGTTGACTTCTCCGCCCAGCAGAGGATCATCGCCTGGCTTCCACTGCTGTAGAGCCGCAGCACGGTGCCGCCCGCGAGGACGCCGCCCACAAGACTCGAGATCCACACGGGGGTTGCGGCGGCGGGGTGCAGGGCGGAGTTCATGAGCGCCCCCAGACCGCAGCCGATCATGCCGCAGAAGAGGCATCCAAGAGTTGACAGCGAATTCAAGAGCAAATCACCTAGGACTGCTGCACCAAGGCCGTTGCAAAGAATCAAGGCATAGGTGGCTTTGGCGGACTCACAGAAGCATGTGCCGCGTATCGCACACTGCACGAGTGCCCATTCGTCGAAGTACTCGACCAAATCTCCGGTGCAGCTGATCAACAATTGCAGAACGCAGGCCACGGCACGGCTGGTTGAGTTTGCCTGATCTGCTGACCAGTGAGCTGACCTCAGCACATAGAGCAGCAGTTTCATGGGGGCTGCAGCGAAGGCTCCAAAGCAGATGCTACCAAAAGACGTCGTCGCAGCGTCACGCAGACTATCTACCAGCAACAATCCATCTTGAGAGAAGTACCATCGGCTGAAAATGCCGCAGTAGGTCGTGTGACAGAGTAAATTGATGACACTGCTTCCTAGCACAAGCAGCGCACTAAAAGCAATGCCGACGGAAAATGTCAAGTTCTTGTTTTGATCTGCGTAATCTTTCTCGTGCTTTAAGCTCGCGAGTGTAAACGCCACAGACACAAGAAAACACCAGATCAGAACTAACAGAGCACCCAAAACGGATACGAGGATCATCCGTGGATACTCATAGGAGCTGTCTGCCACCATCTCAAAGATCTGAGCCGTAAAATCTATGCATTTGTACCAGCAGCACCATGTACAAAGACCGTAAACAAATCCGAACAACAGAAGACACCCTGCTGCGAACTGGGCCACGTACCACTGTGCCTCATGTCTTCGCATCTGGATGACGATACCGATGAGCCCAACAGCACATAGGATGGGGATTAAGAGGAGCAAAGCATAGATCACTGGACGAGGGTAGATTCGGATGGCAAACAGAAGGCCAAAGGCCGTGATCACAGCGCCCATGCTTCCAAGAAAGCCTGGCAAGTGGATGGTCATGGCCCATTGAATGAGACCCCAACCATGTCTGATGGGTCCAGCTTGGTGATCCACAGTTGCGCCGTCTTGGAAATCGGCGTCATCATTCTCAGCACTGGCTACTCCCTTCACGCACAAAATGCTGAAGCCAAGCCATGCAAAAAGTGTCGCTAGGAAGAGGATCGCACAGGGAAAATCCTGGCAGCGCCGCCTCGTGGGAAATCTCCCTTTCTGCTTCAACACCTCCGCACCGATCCGGATCTCCTTCGTCTTGGCCTCGCGCCGCGCCTGGGGAAGCTCGCGCAACTCTCGCAACGCATGTACGTCCACCTGCTTCTTGCTGACGAGCAGGATCTCACGGGGCGTCCCGGAGTCAGTAAAGATGGGCTTCTCCATGCAAATGGATCCTCCGTCAAAAAGGACACGACGTAGACACGTCGCAAGACAAACCTTTTTGCTGGAGCCAATTCGAAGAAGTGAGTTGAAGCAACTTCACAAGCCGGATGCCATGGTTCTTCCAAGAATCATGACGGTTGACCTCACAAGCATGGTTAAGCCCCCGCAAATGACCAGAAGTAGGGACGCCCTGCCCCAAACCATGGCGAAACCGATCCTTGATGGACGTCGGGCGTCGGGAGCTCGGCCCTGGGAGGTGGCATCCCAGCCTCATGGTCAATGAAGAAGCTGAAGTCTGCCAGCCTCAAGTGCTGGTGAAGATCATGCGTAGCTCCTTTTGTGGCTCCTTTGTTCTATTCTCCCCTACGTTAAAAAAAAAAGAAGAACACTAGTACTAGTGTATAAATTTCCCTCATAGCTCATGTATAAATGTCACATACTGTTGCTTTCAAGTAGATTCGACACCCCTAACACTTCGCGGCTCCAATACGAGCGCTTCCCGTGGAAAACCAGAGTGAGCAGCAACAGGGTCATTCAAGAATCTAACCACTAGGAAAGCAGGTACGATATATACATATATAGCTGTTGGTCTACGAATCAGAACCTAAATCCACAAAGGCCGGCAGGATCAACAATATCCCTTGAGCCAAGCAGCATGTTGATCTGGGTGTGAATGTGCCGAGTTGTTTGCATCAACGGCCTCAACTGAGATGACTGATGCGGTGCTCCACTTCAGTGACTGATGTGGCACTGCACAAGTAGCAGTAGCGGCGCCGTAGCGCCATTCAGGAAGGCAAACAAATGCAAAGCAAAGCAACATCTGCATCGTCAGTGCCCCATCTGCCCCTCATTCTCTTGGAACTCCATCAATCCTTTTTACATCCCCAACTTGCTTCCCCACGTCCAACAGTCTGCCACTCTGCCCATCTGCCCCGGCCACGACCACTCAATTCGGGCACGGACTTCGTCACCTGCTGGGGCAGGTCCGCCACGAACTGCTTGAGGTCCGCCAAGTCCTTTCGGAGCGGAACTGCCCCGGGGACCGGGTGGTTTCCCCAAAAGCTGAAAGCGGAAAGCTGGGTGGTTCTCCCAACCAGCTGTGGAAAGCCCGGCTTTTTGGGGGTTTTCCCATCCGGAAGGCGAGTCCTCTTCGTCTTCGGGGTTGGAGAGGATCCGCTCGTGTGTCTCTTGCCTGATGAAAAATCCATGTTCGGTCTGCCATCGGGGATCAGTGCTACTTGTTTCTCATGGGTACGAGTCCAGTACGAGTCTATAGGAAATCATGATCAATCTCTACAAATCACACTCACAGGATGATCAGGATAATCCAGCATGCATTGCAATGGTGTGTGCGTGTGATGTTTGTGATGTTCACTTCCGTTTGGGATCTAAAGTACTTCCGTCCTTCGGTCTTTCCAGTACTACACTGCGAAGTCTAAGCAAGCTGCCACCGATTCAGAACTTCTTGAGAGCGGTCCTGCGGTTCAATGCCACAACAGTCATACGTCATATCTACGAGTCTCCGACCCCCCTCAGGCGTTCACTCACAAAGTCGCCTTCTTGGGGTGATTGGCTTTATATAGCTTTAGTAGTTGGTTCTCGTTTTCCTAGTTTTTACCGTGTTTTTTCCGGACACTCAGCCACCCCCCCTACCACTCATGTCGTGAAGTGTTCCCGATGGCCCGATGGAACGGAACGAAGAAGTCACTCCGCCCGGCCCGCCCGGCGCCTGGATGCTTTGTGCGACGGTTTCCAAGCAGCACGCAGCCAGGTGGTAGGCCCGCTGTGACATGTGTTGGATGATGTCCTGGCCCATCTCAGAGGCTGGTTGCAATCCTGTTTCACAGGGAAAGCCACACCCCACCAATTGCACCTTTTTTGGCCCGCTGTGTCCCTAGAATGCCTTGCTTGGGCTTTTCTCCGCCTAAACCTCGAACGAAGCATCCACAAACGACTCATCTGCACAACAGCACCCCCGAGCGGTCGGTGTCCAGGCAATGGAGCTCAAAGAGAGGAAACCTCGACGAGTCGAATCGGCCTTCGATCCGGGGGTCACCGAAACGACGCCTCATCCGTTGCCGGCGGAGAGCGGAGAAGCCGGTCACGCGGTCACTTGGGCTGCGACATCGCCGCCAAAAAGGAACAACAAGGGTGGGTTGTTGGCAAAGTGAACCATGAAACATCATGAAACACTTGTCTTGTTAGATGAGAACTGATCAGCGCACTTCACGATCTCTGTGGTGAGCTTCTCAATCTCTGTGCCAGCCTAGCCCAAAAACTCTTCGAACACTGTTCGAACACTGTGAGAGCACTGCAAAGCCAATGTCGCTGTGCAAAAGCCAATGTCGCCTGTAAGTAGGCATCCGTCCGGACCTTACTGAGACGTCTTCTCCGAATAAAGCGGTCGTAAGCAGCTTGCTCAAGTGAAATGAAGTAAGGCATTTCACTCCTTCGAAAACTCCTTTCAACGGGGCCTCAGGGTTTCTCAAGTAGATGAAACCTAGGGAAAAAATCACTTTGAATAAAGAACAAGGAACCCCTAATAGGCAATTAGAACTATTGGGAAAACGAAAAGAATAATCTATATATATATATACTATATACTTCCATTTATTCCTTCGTCCTCCCATCTTCCCATGTCCTTCGTTCGAGCCCGAAAACCGATAGATAGACCCAATCTTTGGCGTCCCCGCTCGCACCGTCTCCACATCCAGTGGATCCAGGTCGGCTCCAACCTGAGAATGAGGTTGCCAATGCTTCACTGCAACAAGGAAACGGTACACGTCCGTTCGAAGATGTACCCTCCTGCAAACGATCCCATGGAATACCTGAGAATTGTAGTGGTAGATGACGAATTGTCCTCTAGAACCCAGTGGTTTTGGGGGTGCATGTTAATCTGCGGTGAATATATGTATACAACCTATATATATATATAATATGCCGTTGCATGCTGAAGAGTTGCCTGTCACTCGTTAACAAATGTCCGAGAGCTGGGGCGCTAACCTCTTCTTGAAATAAGTACGCATATTTCTGATACTCTGCCTCAAGAGCAGGCTCATCTGCTCTGATTTCACTCGAAGCTGCATCATTGGACTGCGCCTGCACTTCCCGCGGGCCAAATAAACATTCCTCGATGACCTCTGCGGTAGCAGCCTGCAAGGGCAAAAGCTGGCAGAATCGTCCTTTGCTCGTCTGCTTTTTCTATCTCAACTGGCATGAGTGCAAGTCCTTCCTTTGGGCGTCCCAAGTAGCTACAAGTAGGAATCATGCTTTCAAAACACTGCAAAGAATATTCGCTTTTGCAATGTAGAGGCTCACTATGACTAAATGACTAGACTAGACTCTCCAACTAGATAGAGAGAAATACCGCACAAAAATGCAATCTCACCAAATCTCACCCAACATCATCCATCAAGATACCTCCTCCCTCTTTTCCCTCTCCTTAGCAGCTCGAAGGAGCTGTCCCTCATCCACCGGCCCCGACGGAATCCTCGGCGACGCCGCGAGGAAAGCGCGCGAGGAAAGACGCCACAGGCGCCGCAGGCGAACCAGGGGGGAGCGGCGTGGTTCCTTCTCAGGCTCCAGCGACGTGGGAGCCACCAAGCGCGCTTCCTGGGAGCAACGGGTGACGGACTCGGCGAAGGTGGAAGCAACGGGGCGCGTGTGCATGCAGGTTCGGGTCCGGGTGGCGTGAGAATGGAGCATGCAAGATGCATAGATTGACAGGGTGTTTCCCCATCAAATGACACTGGTTCTTTTGCAGGAGGTCAGGTCAGATCTTCAGTCCTGAGGATAGCCGATAGCCCACCCAGTAAGATGATTGACAAGCAAAGTCTCCTCAGCGCAATGTAAAATCTTGACTATACTTCAACCATCAAGGTGGGTGACGACCCCCTGGAAGAATGAAAATCGACCCGTCGACCCAGCGACCGGGGCGAGAGTTCAGGGGTCTCATTCAAATACCCCCACCCAGATTCTAAAGTAGAAGTTGGGTATATCCCATGACCAGTAGCAGTGGATGATGGTTAGTGCTTAGGTTGCAGGTTGCAGGACTTTTCATCTCTCAAAGTAGTGATCTTCTTGTGGACCGACGGCTCTATGTTCCCGACGGCTCTATGTTCCTGACGGCTCTACGTAGCGACTCCGGACGGTCGGCGCCGTCGGGTCCGGCCGTCTGATGCGCCTCCTTCTTTTCGCCTTCCTCCCGATGGGGATCCGTCTGGAGACTCAGTCAGGAGGTTGGTGACGAGGTAGACGAAGAGGATCGAACGTTGGATGGAAAGGCCACAAATCACAAAGGGTTTGGATACCGGAAAAATGCTCCCATGACCAGTTGGTCACTCGTTGCTGGTGTTCTATTCAATCAAGTGATATTGCTCGTGCGCTGAGGGAGCAGCTCGAACATCAAGTGCTGAGGCAAGTTGCAGAAGGGCACGAGCTGCCAGCACAGTCTTTGATGCGATTGATCTCTTGATGCACAACTCCAAGCATATCTTGAACAGTCAACAATAAGGTGCGTGGGGGCTTGGCATAGCCACAGCCATGGTGACAGCTGCTCCTGCGGCATGATATGCTAGCTTCTCTGCACCCACACCTCGTACTCGATGCTCATAATTGCTGATGTAACCTGCAACCAAAACGTCAGGGGTGAAATCAAGCAGAATCAATGATTCTTGGGCCGAGCGCGCCAGGGAATCCAGAAAAAAGAACCTTCAGACTCAGACTTCGATCTGTGCCTTTGTAACATCATTGATGAGGTCAAGGATCTTCTGCTTGAGGTCGTCTGGATGAGGGGCAATCCCAACCTCGCATCGACACATCTCAACATCAGTCACAGACTGAGCAGACTGAGCACAGACTGACCACTTCAGCACTTCTACGATTGACTCATCGGCCTCACCATGCGTTGCCTCAAGGCTAAGCGTCAGCAAAGGCGTCCTGAGCGAGGTCTTTCTGTCTGCAAGGGGTCGAAAGCTTTCTGTCTTCGCATCCAACAAGACAATCGAGCAAAATGAAATAAAATGAATGTCTCCATCTCTTCACTTCCAAATCTCTACACATCAACAGAGCAGGGATGTACTCTCCGTGTTCAAAAGCTAAAGCCCGCCACAAGCTTCGATTGCCATAGACGACCACACTACCCTCTTGCATGATGTGCTTTGCCATTCGATCCAATTCATGCAGGCCCCGCTCTCTTTTGATGGGTCGACATTCTGCTAAACTGTGTTTTTGAATGTTTTTCGATGTATAGGATCCCATTTTGGGGGGTATCCACCCATGTCCGCTTCTATGTCCCAACAGGCCAGGAGCGCTGAAGGGGCTCGTCATCCTTTGGCATGAACGAGCGAACAAAAGCCACCTGGGCGCACTCCGAACGGCGGCTTTCAGGCTGAACACTGTATGGTATGTCAGGTACCGTGACTTTCAGCAGCATCCACTGGTATCAAACATCCAACCACTGGTATCAAGTCCAGCCAACCAACCACATCTTTTCTTCAGCAAGACGCCCGTGACCGTATGTCTTGACAGTCAGATCTCTTTGGTCCACCAAAATCAGAGCCACACCCAGTCAGTCAGCGACATCTGAACGAACCATCGCATCTGAGCCGAGAGGATCAAATCGAACCTCGGCATCCACCGCGGCGGTTCCCGCGTTCCGCGTTCCGCGGTGTTCTCCCGTTTGCTTCGGGACCTCTTTTTTGCAGGTTGAAACCGAAGAAGTCGAGGAGGTGGAGGTTGGTCGCACCTGAGGGACCTGTCCATCCTTTTCAGAATGGGGAAGAATGGATCCACCCAGTTGTACTGCCTCTTCCATGGCGAGACGTGGTTTGATCACAAAAAGTGTCACCCGACCCACTCCCGACCTCTTCTGCCCAGCTCAGCTCCCTCCGCACTCCGAGGCATCGACTTCCGCAGGATCCTGTGCAAGGGTTGCCTCGAGCGCTGAAATGAAGGAAGAGAAGCAGCGGAAGGAACAGTGGTGTTCCCAACGTTCTGTAAAGCAAATCGGGCTGGTTGTGTACCATCACTTCTGTCGAGCCAGAATGATAGTTGTGCCTGTACTATAAGCCGTTAGAATCACTAGAATAAGAAAGGCAAACGATCAGGCATGTTGGACCTAAATGGGAGCTGTGTCAAGCGTTCAACTTGATGTTTGCAGGCCTCAAGTGCTTCTGCGGATTCTCAATAAAAAAGTTGTTGACCTCTGACATTTTGTCAAGGACCTGTCACCAGAATCAAAGAGCATCTCAGAATGCAAGCTATGCATAGATAAGCACGATACGCGCCATCTTCATCTATATAACTAAGTCAACACTCTAGCCCACGTTCATGTGAATAATCAAAACTTTGGATGGATGACACCTGAAACAAACCATGGTGCCATCGAGAAAAACCACGTCGGTTGCATGGTGATGAAGACAGCTTGCCGTGTGCCGACGTCCATCGCTGCCTCTGAGACGATGTAATCTCGCCAATGGCGTTCCAAGATCACAGCAACGTCCTGGGCCACGCTCCAAGCGGCTTCGCTTCAAGCGGCTTCCACCGAAGATCTCCCACAAGGACAACATCCATGGTCATGAGTTGATAGGCATGGTCATGCCACCACAAAACCATACAAAACCCATGTGCCTTCGGTACCTTTCCAGACATGTCCTTCCAAAACGTGAGTACCCTCGCAGCTGAGGCCATGGCCTTTCGATGCTCTTCCATGTGGATAATGAAGTCCGTTGGCGCAAAGGTTCGTATCCGAGAATCCTTCGACCACGGCGCGTCGCGGCGCTGGTCATCTGGTCGGACACATGGACCAGAAATGGCGGAATTACATAGATCCATATGAAGATTTCTCATGACAAGTCTACGAAACAAAATAGAAATCTGGAGGAATAGTCCATAGTTCAATTTCACTATACGTTCATTTGTAGCATATGAAGATGTCTCATTTTACAAACCGATTTTCGGTGGAGTCCTGGCCGGGACGTCCATTGGCGCTGCCACTCCGATCTTTCCCACACGGCATGGTGTCCAGGATGCGGTGTCGGTCGATCTGGGTGGGAAGGCGGTCGCAGCCGCGCCGAAGCAGAGGAGAGTCTACTTTGGACAAAGCATAGTGCTTGTTCATTGCCATAGTGCTTGGTCACTCAAACAAAAGCAACGAGGTGGAACACGTCGTATGATTGAACTAGATTCAAGCTTCCAAGTTCGACGGCCTGGAACATCAGCTGAACATCCCCAGAAGCAAAAATCAGCAAAATTATCTGAATCTCTGGTCCCAACATCTCTCGCCCTCTGAACTCTCAGATCCAATGCTCTCCTTACGAAGAAAAAATGCTTCATCACGCGTCACGAGTCTCTGCCTCCTCACCGAATCGGCGCCAGACCGCCATGGTCACCACCTGAGGGAATGAAACATCTCCGGTCGCTGAAAGTTTGTTGATGAACAGCGGCCCCATCTGTTCACACTTGTTGTTTCAGAATTTGAGACTTCTGTTGATCAAGAAAGTCTGAAGTGCTTCAGGCAGCTATGTTGCTAGTCACCCTGTGCTGCTTTTTCAAGATTGCATTGGACTCGATGTTCGAGTGCATGATCGCGGGCCATATGTACATTGTGACTTTTAGACGGGTGTGACTCAAAAACGAAAACTCTGTAACAACACTTTAAAAACATGCCAAGCTTTTCTATAGCACAACATCCTGCTGTTTGGCAGGCCTCTATGAAAAAGAAATGCTAAACGCATGCTCCTTGGCAAGTGGTCTTTTGAGCACAACCCGGGCAGGACCGCGGTTCCTCTCACGTTCTATGCATGTCTCCGCCGCAGCGGCGCACTGACCACCTCACAGCGTGGCCGTTGCTTGGCGCGGTGATGGCCACGGGGTGGTCGCGACCATAAGGTCACCTTCCCTCAGTGGTCCCTACTGGGTATGCTCAGTCCATGCCCCATTGCAGGTCACTTACGTCAAGTTTAGACTCTTCAACAGCTTGGAGACTTGATTACGACAAGTTCTTCCTAGGTCAGGTATGACCAAGTCCATGGATATTTCTAGGACAGGTTATTCTTTGTTGCGGGAACTACTCCGATCGCTACCAGGTACTTTGATCCCATCTCCGCATGCAAGACAGGCTGTTCTCGGCGTAGGGATCCCCCACGCCAGAACCAAACCAACCAACAGCGCCAGCGTCTGGAGACCAGCGCCCAAGGCAAAGGACGAGCGCCAGCATATGGCACCACGACAGAAGGCATCTGGCCGGGATGGAAAGTGAGAACTTATGGCAAAGGGTGCAAAGATCTCATGGCCTAGACTTGACACCCTGCGTTTCAACATTTCAACCCACTTGAACCGCCTTGCCCCTGCTGCGCCGCTTCAATGTCATACAAGCCTCCCACCTGCCAAGGCGAAAGAAAATGCACAGACTTGGCTGAGCTGCTTGCCCACCAAACCTAAGGCCTACTCAAACAAGACTCAATATAGGCATCGGGTTTACCACCCTAGCAGTCCGACATCAAAAACACATCCACCCTGAAACTGAAATGACGTGAGAAAAAAAGAAGCGAAAAATCGTCCGCCCCCACCGCATAGGAGGTCAGCAGAACCGCCACAGCAATGTGCCCGCTGTGAACATTGAACATCACTCCAACCTAAACGACAGCTGAAATCTTCTGAACATGCAGTTAGCCGAATGTAATAAGGGTGCAACTTCTCAAGAAAACCGCCGAGGACAAGGGTTCATGCTTTACAACAACGCGGGTTTGTTCTTCCTGTTTTGCTGGTGGTCTGTCAGTTTGCACTGTGTATTTTTCAAATTCTTCGGTGGTGCTGGTGTTGGACCCACGTAGGGGCCTTTTGCGCCGTTTTTCCCGAGAGCGCCTGACGGAAGGGTTCTTCTGAAAAGACAAGAACGTTACATATCATTACATGCACATGTTCACTTCTGCGTACCTTCAAATCTGAATATCTCTCTCCCTCATCTTTCTTGTTTTCTCCCTCTCGTCTCTCTCCCTCTCTTTCTCTTTCTCGTTTCGCTACTTCGTGACTTGTGGTACTTGAGGCTAGCTGAGTTGCACTAAAAGTGTCATCAGTAACGTTATAAGTTCAATAAGTTCATATTGAAACTTGTTAAGTTTGATAAGTACCAGGGCCCTACTTACTGAACATAGAAACACCTTGTGAACTTACTCTAGGTATTTTCTATTTACTTTGCCTAGCTAATTTCTACTTATTCCTAGCTAGTTCCGGGTAAATTCCACTTATTTCTAGCTAATTTCTTCTTATTTCTATAGCTATGTTTCTTTATGTTTCTATATCTTTTTAGAACTTCAATTGGGTTCTACTTATATATAATATATCAGTCTAATGTATATTTATGTTCTAACATGCTTCTCAACAAAACCATTGAAATATAGTTACGTCTGGACGCACGCGTTTGTATGATGGGTTTGCTTTGTGAAGATGCCCCAGTGGCGCTCTGTTTTTGCATTTTGCCAGATAAATCAGTTGAAGGCGTCCCTTAGGCCGCTAAGTTTTTAGCATGTGGATGGTTTATATGTTCAAATGAAAATATGTCCTTGGGTAGTAGGCCAAAGGCATAGGGAAACATGAAAAACAGAAGAACAATTGACAGTATATCTATTAGCTACTTATTTCCATCTATTTCTAGCTATTTCTCGATTTCGAGCACTGTGCCAAGGATCCTTTGATATAGGTCCAACATTACCCTTGCGTCCCTTGCCCCTTTATTAAGCAGCCTCATAACCACACTGCGAAGCATTGAGCACTCATTGGGACAAGGTCAACACTGATGATTGTTGCCTACGAGGGCTGCAGATTGCACAACATCTCACCTCAAATCTTCACAACGCACACATATCCACATGAACATGGCCTGGAAGACATCTTTGGGCAGGACCTCGATCTACCCGTTCATCTCATGTTTTTCCCCCTCTCTTTCACTTTCTCTCTCACCATCTCGTCACTCTCTTTACTGCACTGTTTCATCGTCATGCACGCATACCTGACACCAGAGTAACTCTACACCTAAACGCTCTCGGGCCATCCGTCGTCTAGTTCTTGGTCTTTGTTGACACCGAGACGCGTGGGACCCTTGGAATCGCTTCGCAATGAAGGACGGCATGATCGCCTACAAAAAGCACGCACGATCCGGAGATTGGCCCTGAAGACAACACACAGCTGACAAAGGGAAAGCTTCAAGGATGTGAAAATGTGAACGCTATTGCCTTGCATGCAAAACAATGAGAGCTACAGCAATATCATGAATGCGGGCCAAAACTATCCATCCAACACTGTGGCGACTGGCGGGATTCCAAATTCACTTGTCCAAATTACCTGCATAATCTACGGGGCAGTTACCGGTTGTTGACCCTTGGCCATGTGCCATCGAAGCAACCCAGTTGGCACCATAGGCGGCTGCAGTGACTGCCAGGGCCGGCAGAAGGGCATGTGGCACCACCTGAAGTCAAAGGGCTTCGTCTTGAAATTGGGGAACACCCACACCAACGAGCTTTAGTCTAGATTGCAATAACTTTCCAGGGGTAGTGACCAGGTAGTGTCCAAGTTTTCCTCATCTTTCGTGCACAAAATGTGCTCCAAAATTTCCAAAACCGAGAGGACGTAACAGGTCCTCCGTATTGATTCTGAGGCATCTGTTCGGTTTTTTGGGGGCACAGCACAATTAAAAAGAGACTTGGCCCTGCACCAATAAATAGAAAAACAAAACCAAAAAAAAAACAACTTGATCCCTCCGGCTCTTCTTGCTTCTTGCTTCTTGCTTCTTTTTGACCCCCTTTGCAGTCTCCGACCCTTGCCACGTCCCCCGACATCACGCGTTCCACGAGTCCGTTCGGCCTCCTCGGGGAGCAGCAGCAGCGCGAAGGACGACAGCATCACACCCACGGCGGTGACAACGATGTGATCCGAGCGATGCACTCCTTGCGGCAGCGCGTCGGCCGGGAAACGCAAACGTGACGACCCCCCAAAGAGCATTGCGTGTGGGGTTCAGGTGGGTGTTGGAGGCTCATGGACTCGAAGCAAATCACCTCCCTCCTGTTGGATATTCGGAACAATTTTTTCCACGTGACAGGGACATGAAGTATATGACCCATTCTAAGCGGCATGCACCTGGGAGGCGCCTCAGGCCGCGCCTCTGATTTCCAAGGCATCCATGGCAAAACCGACGCAAAGCCGGCCCAAACAGTTGCTGTACGACCTCGGCATTTCCAATGAGATACGCAAGTCAACATGTAGAAATATGACTTCAACTGGACCTCTGTTGCTGGCACACTCTTGTCAAGCCAACCCTCGCAAATGATGTTGATCTTCCTGGAAGAAAAGAAGCAAGAGCTCAAAAAAGCTGCCCAAGGTCGTCACACGGCACGCACATAGATCGCACGGTGGTCGGCAGAGATCCCTAAAGAATCTCCAATCCTCGGGTGTCCGCGGCAGAACTGCTTTGTGCTTGGCTCTTCCAAAGCTCCGTCTGACGCTGATCAATGGTCAGAAACTAAACTGATGATGCGATGGGCTCGCTGATCTGATTGCAACACGCCAGAAAAACATACCACGACTTGCTGGACAGTCGCGGCCCGATGTCTGGGAAGAAAAAAAGTGACATCTTCATTGAACCCAACTCCAGCGGATGCAGCCGGTGATTGACTGGGCTTCACTTCACGTTGACGTCGAACGGTGAACCTGCCAAGCTGCAGTGACAGATTGGCAATGTAGAGACCAGATCCAATGGCTTGCCTTAGGGAAGACACGGTGGGTATCATCTTGACACATGTTCTGTTCGATCTACGAAGACGAGACAGATGATATGTGGAGTATAGATAGACTGATAATATAGGTACCTGATATTTTAAACAGGACAAAGGCCGAATGTATCAATCGGATTCACTGAGTGGATCACCAGTCAGAAATTGTCGTCCACCGCTCCAAACACCACCAACACATCGTCCAGGTCACAGGAGAACGAAGGACATCAGAAAGAGCCAAAAGTCCAATCGGCACCTGAACCACAAGACGAACGCGAGACGCAAAGTAAAAGACAACGAGAGTGAGACGCCCATCACCTCGTCATTCTGGGTCTGTGTGAGTGTGTGAGAGGCCGAACTTGGTCTGGACCAGAAACTTGGGGAAGACTCAGAAGCTGGACACCTATGCACTCACATGTCTATGGACTACTACCTACTACCGACTACCACGACCTTCCGGACCGAGGCACAGGATGTCCTTCCGACTCATGTGCGGCACCGACTTGGAGGACGGCGTCGCCGGGGCCGCTCGCTCCAGCTCCTCGGACTCCTCCTGGCGACCAAGCCTGGGAACAGATTCAGGGGGAAATCTTCAGAAAACATTCTTCAGCAGCCGGGGCGGAGGGGGGCAGTGGGGACAAACATGGAAAAACTCTGGTGACAGTCTCCGGGCGAGGGTTTAGGAGTACTGACCTCTCATCAAATGAGAGTTCAAGTCTACTCACGCCACGAAGGGTTCCACCATGTTCCACCTTGTTCGCCCAAGTGACTTCGTCGGCGGCGGAGAAACACCAGCCTCACATGGGCATGGCATGCGGAATTTGTTGCCTTCATTTATTAGATACGGGCCATGTGAGCCATGTGTAATTTTGGGATAAGGAATTCTCATCGGACCAAAAAAAGGGCGTGATTGTGGCCAAGTCGTCGCGGTGCTTTCATTCCTTCCTTGCTGAGGCATTACCAGTTCTAGCAGGTGACACGGCATCTTGCAAGAAGGACCTGGTGACCCGCCTCATCTTTCCCTGTGACCTCCGGCAGCCTTCCATAAGCAAGGCGTGGTTTGCCATGCAAACACCTCAAAGGCTGTGCTCAGGCAGTCCAGCAAAAGCTCAACACCAGCTCCGATTCTTAGGCATCCGCAAAGATCTGCAAAGTAATATACACCTACTCCATCTGAAGATTCACAACTTCCTTTCCCCACTATTTGGCTGCAATCGAAATCTTCCTCCTCCACCCCCGGGAGACAAATCCTGCGAAAAGCCATCCCCGCCCATCACCTCCGGTGGCCAAGCCGCGGCATCAAAGCGGCCGCCACAAGGCCGGTGATGGCGAACAACACCCCGGTGCCTTTGAAGTACTGGTCCAAGTCCTCGTCTGTCGGTCCGGGATCGGACTCGTCGGAACGCAGGAAGAAACAACCAGCAGCTGAGGCAAATGCGCCGCAGTTGTCGGGCGGACACCGGTCGGTGGGCGTCGTGTCCTCTCCGAAGAAGGCAAAGAGCAGCGTCACAAAGGCCGCGGACAGTCCGTAGCCCGACGAGACGATGCCAGTAATCACGCCCTATCAGGGATATGACGAATAGCAGCACGACTGAATTGGGTTTGTGTGTGCAACGGCCCACCTGTGATCATAGTTGGATCAAAGGGCTAACAAAGTTGTTGACTTGTATTGTACGGTATCCAATGCCATTTCTTTACGTCTCAAAACATGACTCCCACGTGTTTCCGACTGTAAGGAGGGACTTCTCTGGTTTTTTTACCCTATCTTCCTCCAGACGTTCTTCTTCAAGGTCAGCTGTAATACTCAGAACGGAGCGGCACCTGCATCTTTGGCGGAGCATTGGCAATGTTGGAGAACAAACCAGCTTGGAAGATGGCCACCGAGCCCTGCACCGTCCGATGCGAAGCACGGTCAGGCGGACAGTGGTGACAGAAGCATAGCACGTTCACCCACAAAGACTGGACATAGAAAGCATGGTTTTGTTCACAACCCGAAAGTGAAGGTTTCAATGTTCAGATTTTTCAGAATCACTTCTAGTTGAACTGTTTTCATCAACCTGACAGTCTCCCCTCAAATTGCTCGAGGCAAAAAAGGGGGAAAAACAATCAACCTCGGATCTTCCGGCCCTAGAGATCCATCCATCAACAACGAAAGAAAACGAAAAACTGAGCATGTCGTTCTGGACAATGTGCACCTGTGCACCTGTGCCACCAGTCCCAGACTCGGAAAACCCAAGTGCCAGATACTGCTGTTGGGAACGATACTCTACGTCTATGCGTCCACGAAATCAAATCGCTCATCGCAAAGACATGAGTTCTGAGTTAGCCAGCCAGTGGCTTTGTAACTCATCTCGATACGAAAAGCCACACGCAACGCCTGCTGCACCAGGAAATACCAAAAAGCCAGCGTGGAAACACCGCCACAGCCCTCTCTTTGCAGCATCAAGGACATGCCGAAATTCCCAGCAGCGTTGAAGACAGCACCTCTGCTTCGTGCAAAGCCACATCAAAGCACCAGCTCAGTTCGTCTCGTTCGTCCCCGAATGGGCGTCGAACAACGGTCCATCGGGTCATGGCCTTCCTTTTTGATCCTTTTTGTGGGTTGGGGCGTCGGTTGAGAGTGCCGAAACTGCTACGATCATCGTTCTAACAAAAAAGCATGTGGGGATCTGGGTCCAAACCGGGGGCCCCAGTTTGATCACCGAAAATGAACAGAATAGATGACCAGCCAGGTCAACCTCTTCGCAATATCATTCAGATCGGAAGTCTTGGGAGTGCTGTCAAGCCACCATAGAGGCACGCGCCGACAGGACCACGAAGATCATAAAGTGTGCCAGGGATGATGCCCAAGCCCACGCCAGCCTACCAATCTTTACAGGCGTCTGGACCGTCTGGAGGAGCTATACCCAGCCCAGTCTTCATTCCAAAGAAACAGAGACTTGAATCACAGCAACTGATCAGTGTTTCCGTCGTGTGTGAAGTGTCCAACCCTCCTAAGCCGTTTGCGCCTCCAAACGGGGGTCCATCATAGGCCATACCAAAAGGGATAACTACATCAGCGAAAACCACGTACCCGTTTGGCCTTCAACTCTGCCACCACGGCGGCGCGGAACGTCCGGACCGTCCCCGTGGCCCGTGGCCCGTCACCTGACCGGCGGCATAGACCACGTCCAGTTGCTGTGCCGTCAAGCCGCAGCGGCTCATGATCTGCACTTCGAACCTCGGCTCAGGATCTGCGCAACAGTGGCAACGGCAACGGGAAGGTGAAGAAATCAGAAGAAATCCCTTCGATTCGTGGGTGAGGTTCTCTGTAGATGAGGGGTTCGGAGGTTTCCGAGGCTTCCTAGATTTGGACTCTGTAGTTGTGGGTGAAATTCTCTGGTTTTTGATTATTACTTGTAATTACGTGAAAAGTGGCCTCCATGGTGCTTCCGGGTCATGCCGCGGTCATGCCTGCTTTGACGGAACGCAGTGTGCTAATGTTTGCTCCGCGTTTCCAGCATGTTCCCACCTGGAGAAAGCATAGAGACTGCCACCGCACAAAGCCATCCATGTTCCCAGCAAGAGCAAGAGAATCTGCCGCCATGCCGGTGCTTCAGGGCAAGCAGCACAAGCCTCAAAATGATCCAAAAGAAACAAAAACGGTCGACTGCAAATGAGGCTTATAAAAGCCTGACGGTGCAGCCCACAAAATCCGGACGTGACCTGGACTGCTTCCATTTCTGGTCGTTGCCAAAATACCCTACATCGAAGATGGAAGCTGTTCTACGAGGCCTAAAGAACTGAAGGGATTGGCTTTGCTCAGCTTTGCACCAAAAGCATTGATCGGAAGATGGTCGAGTCGAGTCAACCCTACATGCCCAGGTACCATGGATCAAGCAAACCACTCAAAACGCTTGGTAGCTTTTGCGATGCTCCATAGCGCAAGAAACCAAAAAACACCAACACACATGGCAACAAACCCCACAGCCCCACCACAATGGTCCATTTTGGCATCAAGGTGACACGCTCCGCCAGGTTCCGGATCATCGATCATGGCTCGCGAGGCGGCGACGACGGGGTCGAGCGCCGGTGTCGTCCAGAAAAGCCCTACGTCCAAGTACCCGTCGAATATTCCTTGTGAGCAAGCAGCAAACCCACAACGAGGTGTGGTGTAAGAATTGCTGTGACCCAGCAGAGAAAGATGGAAACATGTGGATCTGTTCCCAACCACGGGAGGTTTCTCGGTTGCAGAAACAACCACGTGATTCTTCGAAGCGTGAAGCACTGACAGAGATGTCTGGCAATCGTGCGTCCAGTTCTGCAAGAAGGGAATGAATTCCAAGCAATCGAAGGGAATGCATTTGCTTATCTGAGTTTATCTTGACATTTGAGCCTGCGGCAGGTTGAAAGTGCAAACTGTCTTCCCAACTTTTGTCCGCTTCTAATGATTTCTGTGGCACACACTTCTAATGAGCCAATATGGCTCGTTGACTAGAACAGGTGTACAGCCAAAAAACCAAAGCTTGCAGAGTGCCCACCCCAAACCAGAGTAGCAAGTGGGTGTTGGGAGAAGAGAAAGTGAGGGTCCAGTGTAGGGCAACTCTCTCAAAGTCGAGAAGTCAGGTTAGAACTCTTCAACAGCAAGAAAGCCAGAACGGGGACGAACAACGCGGTGACAGCTGGCAAGTGACACTGCAATTGGAGCTCAAAAAGTGGGCCTTGATCACATCAAACAGACCGATACAACAGGGATACAACATTTTGTTGAAAAATATATGTCGCTTTGGATCTACATGAAATGCGTCTGTGCAGTATACCCTTTGTTTTCCTCAAGCTGGCATCCTGGAACCAAATGTTGACACGAATCCAAGGCTCACACATTGACATTTCGGGAGATGGTCGGCTGTTGAACCAGCTGCGCTGTGATCTCCAGCACTGACTGCTCGGAGGCCTAGCACAGCTCCACACGGGCAGCGACTCGCCATGAGTTCAATAGTCCAACATGTCATTCAGTACCCCTGGTGAAAAATTGGTGAACAAAAACTCCCTTGGTCTACTTGGCCATATTCACCAGGACTTTGGCAGCCATACCATACTGTAGATCTTCTACTGCACCTGTGTTCTACTGCACTAAGAAGCTCGGCAACGCTCGGACTCCGCCTGATGCTGAACCAGCCCATACTGCGGAGGCTTCACCGGCAGGAAGTTCCGCAACCTGGGCCACCGGAAGGAGGCTCCGGAGCATCGGAGGTCGCGCGCCGAACGAGATCGAAGCAACGCGCGTGCCCGAGATCGAAGCAGGTCGGTCAAGGTCTCGGACAAAGGCGCGAAGGGTGTATCATCCCTCACACAGGCATACCTTGGACGGTGAGGGTCCAGGGTGAAGGAAGCTCAGTATATAAAGTCTTTGCACTTGCACTTGCTGTAAGCATGATTTGTAGACATTTGAAGGCATGTCTGTGCTTGTTGCCCCGAGGCCAAGACGGTGTGCCCATCTCTAGGATCAGGTCGTTCTTCACTTTCGCCTTGGACGATTCACAATATAGCTGGCCATCACCACGCAACGAGCGCGGGACTGCCCAAATCATCAAGCAAGCTTGCAGCCAAGTTGCAAATTTCATGGAGAGAATGTAGTTCCTGAGTATGCAAAAACATTCAACACAAGTCCGACTTCTCTGAAACTGCACTAAGCGCCTGATTTGCTGGCAAACCCCGCAGGGCTGATGGACAGCACTAAGTCACTGAGTTTTGGGGCGACCAAAAAGAATCAAACACCAACAAAACCCAGCAGACTTGGCCACGCCACGCCCAACCCGCCACCCCACAGGCTGCCGCGCTCTTCGATCTCGCGGATCAGGTCGCGGATGTGTCCTGGGAGCTCCGAGGCCGCTCCGACCGAGCGACTCGGGAGAAAACGGGGGAGAACGCGAAGACCGTCCGAGGTGGAAGGGACTGAAAAAAAAATGGCTGAAACATTCGGTGAAAGCTTTGTGGGAGAGCCGGGAGACGGCCTAATCCTTGCTGGACAACCATCAATGAAGGCTCTAGACTCTAGAAGTGAGCCATGTTTGGGGTGCTCAATGATGTGTCTTAAATAAAATGCAACAATTCTGCGGCAAGCATGGCAATGCTGGCCAACCAGTCTGATACCAAATCCTGGGACCTTTGATGGACCTCCGCCGTCCGTCGCCCGTGGCCTACGAAGCTGTTGGAATCCTCCAAATGGCTCCGGTGCAGACCTCCATTCTGGAGTGAAAGCGGCGCCATCCAGAAAGGACAGGCAGATGACATGAGATGAACATGTATTTTCTGCACATCTTGTTTTGGGGGGGATGTCCTTCAATCCGCGGAGAATGGTGGGCTTCCATCTTTGAGGAGACACAACAACAGAGGAGGACACCACAGGTTCAAGCAAACTGTGCTGTGCTCAGTTGATTCAATTCAAATCTTGACAGTTTTATTTCTAAACATGTCCTCCTCATTGGAACCTTCGACTCGGCCCAAAGAGCTCGGACTGGCCTTGTCGAATAAACCGCTCCTTCTGTTCTCTTCGGACTGGTGACACCTCAACAGCTCCGAGCTCGGCAACGCGGAGGGGGCAAGCTGGGTCGGTTGGAGCCAACGCAAGCGCGGCCGGGGCACCAGTTCGTCGGGTTGTGACTCAATAAACTTGATGAAGGCCTGGCGCATAATGTAGTCCCTTGATTTACAAACCCCCCCCCCCCCCCCCCCCCCCCCTCAACAACCAAGGCCTCCAAAATAATGTATAAGAAAATCAATCAATTGATAATTAAATAAGGAATCCTTAGCTAGCTACCTCTAGAGCTACTCTGGCAATATTAAATTAAAAGGAAATAAGAATTCCTAACTTTGAAGACATCTGGAATATTAATTACAATAAAAGGGAATGAATCAATGGAAGTAGAACTAACTGCTTAAATTTCAATGGAAATCTCAATCCAAAGACCTGCAAAATCATTCAATCTCAATGGAAATCTCAAAAGTTTTAATAGAAATCTCCATCCAAAAGCCTCCAAAAGCATTAAATCTCAATGGAAATCTCACAAATTTTGAATAGAAATCTCTATCCAAAAGCATCCAAAAGCATCAAATCTCAATGGAAATCTCAAATGTTTCAATAGAAATCTCCATCCCAAAGCCTCCAAAAGCATCAAATCTCAATGGAAATCTCAAAAGTTTTAATAGAAATCTCCATCCAAAAGCCTCCAAAAGCATCAAATCTCAATGGAAATCTTCAAATGTTTAATGGGCATCTCCATCAAAAGGCATCCAAAAGCATCAAATCTCAATGGAAATCTTCAAATGTTTAATGGAGCACTATAAAGAAAGGGGATTTTATAAAGAAAGTGCGCACTGACTTTTGGAAACTTTTGGAAAGCTTCACAACTAAAGAGCTTAGGAAAAGTAAATAAGGAATAGAGGGTGAGTAAAGCAAATCAAAAGGCAAAGAAAAGGAAACACAGATTTAAAGCCTCAAATCTCTAGACATTATTCTAGGGGCCCCCCCTAAATAATGTCAGAAAGCTGCTTGCTGGACTACCCCCTTTGCTTGA